TGTCCCTCAGAGCCCCCCTGCCTCCATTGTCTCCCTCAGAGCGCCCCTCCATCCACACCCCTCAGAAGCCCCCCAGGTTGCCATTTTTGGCAGGATATGGTCCCTGTGGTTTCATCTCAAGATGATCTTTTATTCCTGAAGACTTTGGGACACTTCTGGATGGTTGGCACCCTGCACCCACTGTACCCCTCGCACCCCCCATGCCTCTCTGTGACATCAGCATCGAGGGTGTACGTGGGACGGTGGCTGCATTGCACCCACCCAGCCGGGGAGGCCCCAGTGGTGGGGCAGCTCGCCCCCAACAGCCTTTTTGCCCCTCTCAGCGGAAGCAGGACACGTGTGGGGCACACAGCATTGCCAGCACTGAACTAGCCCCCCTGGGATCCCTGCTGTCAGGACATTTGGACTAGCAGGAGCTGCACTGCCCTGCACTAGGGAAGAGAGTTTGGGCCCCGCTGCAGGTGCCCGTCCCCTCTCCTGCTCAACCAGTAATTCAGCTCCATCCCCACACCTCCTGGGGCTCTTCGCCTCCCCATCTCGTCCCACAGGACTGCAGTGGGGTCCCCCCTGCTCCTTCCTAGGAAGGGCAGAGAAACAGAGCCATCCTCGCCCTTTGGCTCACACAAGGGGGAGAAGAAGGGTCTCCTGAGCTGGTAGGCTCTTGCCTCCCCCGTCTGTGAGAATGGCTTGAGATTGCTGGGGGGAAGGAGAGTGCTGTCTGCGGGGAGGACAGCCCATCAGAGGTCTCAAAACGGGGAGGGGTCTGGAATATCTCAGTGTGTTTGGAGACTGGCTCCAGCAGCCCCAACCAAAGCCTCCCATTGGTTTAAAAAAATCACCAGCCTCAGCAGCACTGCACAGACACTCACAGCTGGGCGAATGCAAACTTTTCCCCATTACAGGGAGGCTCTCACACTGCGCTGGGGCCGGGCTTGGTACACCTTTCACGCTGGCTCAACTTTAGGCCTGTTCTACTCAGTTCCCCCACACAAGCGGATCCTGTCTCGTTTCAGCTCAGTAAACCCACAGGCAGGAAAAGCCGTCTCAGTTTTCCCAGAGAGATGGAAGGCTCTTCTCCTACATCTTTGCCAGGGGCTTTTGTTTAGTCCAGCCTTCTCCTTTATCTCCGGAAGCTCAGCTCTTGGCCGAATTCCAGCACTAAGGCAAGTCCTGCCATGCTCAGCTCCTAGCCCAGAAGGCAGTTTGAAGAAAAGACAAGACAAAATTAACTCCAAAAGGATGAAGTAACATCTTTTCCCCTACAGAAGCTTCACGATGACAGTGGAAGTAGCCTTTTATCCTTTTGCTGTTGTATTGAAACCCACGCTAACGAGACACAGGCAGCTAGAAGCATGATGTTGTGCAGACATCTCAGCTGGTAGGTGTCTGACAGGTAGTTGTGCACAGATGGAAGAGGAAGATTTGCCTTTCTAGTCTTGCATATTTTTCTTCTCTTATGGCGGTTGCAGGAAAGCAGAGCTGCTAGAGTCAGCAAAGCATAGTTTAAGAGAACGGGGCCTACTGCTATGTTTAAATGAGAACAGAGGAGATGGCACAGACCTGACAAGCTAAGCACACTGGATTTCAGAACAGGCTGACAAGGCTCACTAGAAATACATTTCAAAATGTAGAGACAGAATTTTATTCTTGTCCAGGGTAAATAAAGAATTGGTTTTTGGACTACGTTTTAAGGTTGCCAGATGGTTGAAACAAAAATACCACTCCCCTCCCCCTCCCCCCCGCCCAAAAAAGGGAAAACATTCTGTTGGAAGGGAAAAACGGGGACAAAAAAGATAGAAGAAAAAAATAAAAAGGGACTCCAAGGACTTAAGCAAAAAAAAAAAAAAAAAAGCAGCATTAAAACAGCATGTCCCCTTTAAGAGTGAGTGCAGGGATAGGAACAGGGCTTGAGCACTAAGACACAGGGGAAAGCATTGCTTCCCTTAGTTCTTTTGGCCTGCAGCCATTTTGTGCCGGCAGCCTTGGGGAACCAGGTAAGCATGGAGGCTGGGGTCAGAGGACTGGGGGAGCCCGGAGAAGGTTGGGGGGGAGAAGCAGGGCACTGAGTGGTTGCAGGGTTGCTAGCTACCTGGGTTTTTGCTTCCTGGCCTGGGAAAAATTCAGAAAATACCAGACATTTTAAGTGTCCAGTATTCTCTGAATTTTTTTTTAACCGGACAGGAGCCAAAAATACCAGACTGTCCGGGTGAATACCGGACACCTGGCAACCCTACCATGTTTAGCGTAGGGATATCAACATGCAGTCTGCTACGTGATTAACCTGATTGGTTAATCCTATCGACTATGTGCACTTCCCCCACCTTGTTGCCTCTATCCATCTGCACTCAGAATCCTGATGATGTGCCCTGGGTCTGGAGAGGGCGTTTATGGGCCTCTCTCTAAGGCATGACGGCTCCATGCTGGCAGGATGTTCTCTGGGACAGGGAGTGGTGCTGCTGAGACAGCTAAAAGGGGGCTCCAAAATTGATTTACTTTTAGACTGGGGACTTGCCCAAGCTGGTACCGGCAGCCTGCAGGCAGGGGCAGCCTGTGACTATAGGTGGACTCAGCCGCCGCCTAGGGTGCCGCCGTCCGGGGCGCCCGATGATGTCAATCCATTGACGACCCTGCAGGAGCGGGCGCCAATCGCGCGTTCCGCCTGGGGCGCCAGCTGCCGCAGCCCGCCTTGGGCTGCTCCTGCCTGCAGGCCCCTGGTGTCAATGGGACTTCTGGCTGATGGTGTAGAAGGCATGGTTTGAGGTGGGCTAAACCACTCGACTTGAGGTGCTGCTGTACTTCCTGACGGAGGGGTTCAGATGCCCAGTGTGGGTCTTGTCTCTCTTCCAACCCTTTCATTTCCCTTATGGGAGATTTTCTTGGATGGAGCTGGGGAGGGAGAGCGGCATCAGCTAAGAAGGTGGCACCAGAAGGATTCTGCGCACCAGTATTGCAGTGCTCAGGACAGAGTTGGATCTCTGCTCCCGTGTTAGAGCTAGTGCTAACTCCATTAGGCATGCCCAGAAACAGATGTCCCTTTTGTCTGAGGTTTGAGCTTATAAATGTGACACTTGGTCGCTTATGTGCCCTTCACCTAAGTCACCTCAAAACAGCTGTTATAAGGATCCCTGATGATGGGGACTAATTTAGCTATAACTAGTCGAGCGAGATCGGGCAGTCATTGTGAAGAGTTTTCTGAAAACATCCATTCAGTGTGCAGCAGCAGTCAAAAAAGCAAAATGTTAGGAATCATTAAAAAGGGATAGAGAATAAGACAGAAAATATCTTATTGCCGCTTTATAAAACCATGGTCTACACACATCTTGAATACTGTGTACAGATGTGGTTGCCTCATCTCAAAAAAGATATTTTGGCATTGGAAAAGGTTCAGAAAAGGGCAACAAAAATTATTAGGGGTTTGGAACGGGTCCCATATGAAGAGAGATTTAAAAGATTTGGATTTTTCATCTTAGAAAAAAGAAGACTAAAGGGGGAAGATGATAGAAGTCTAATGAAATCATGACTGGTGTGGAAAAGTGAGTAAAAGTTATTTACTTATTCCCACAATATAAGAACTAAGGGTCACCAAATGAAATGAATAGGCAGAAGGTTTAAAAACAAACAAAAGGAAGTTTTTCTTCACTCAGCACAGTCAACCTGTGGAACTCCTTGCCAGAGGATGTGAAGACTAGGATTTTAACAGGGTTAAAAAAAGAGCTAGATAAATTCATGGAGGTTAGGCCCCATCAATGGCTATTAGCCAGGATGGGTAGGAATGGTGTCCCTAGCCTGTTTGTCTCAAAATGGGTGACAAGAGAGGGATCACGATTTCCTGTTCTGTGCCCTCCCTCTAGGGCATCTGATATTGGTCAGTGTCGGCAGACAGGATACCGGGCTAGATGGACCTTTGGTCTGACCCCATCTGGCCGTTCTTATCAGACACTTACAGCAACTGAATGGTTTTAAACCCGGGGATCAGGGCATGCCACACCCTTAGGCAATCTCCTCATTCTGTCATTTGCCACAACTGAGAATAGCCTGGCTCCATCGTCTTTGGAACATCTTTCCAGCACTGTCACTGGCGGCAAGAAGGAACTAAGGATGGGCAGAGTGAACGACGCCTTGTACTGCACCACGAAGGTACCACTCCAGAGAATGCTGAAGTTGCTCACCTATAGATTACAGCTAGGGGAAAACTTCTGGCATTGGCATACATGGCGAGCATATACACCTGATATGAAATGGACACTAGCAATCACTTGAAGGAAAATCATCAATGTATCAGTTGCTTTGTTTTAAAAATCCTAGTAAAAAGGCAGGTTTTGGTTGCCTGATGGGATTGTGTGTCATTTTCTGGGCAAAATCTGAAAGGAACTGAAGCATGTGTTTCATTGCATGCCATCTGCATTATATTACACATTAGGAAGATCAAGTAGTGAACATGCAGGAGTAATAAGAATTTTATTTCCAAAACGTTCTTTAAAAGCTCCAGTATTAGCAGTTCTGAACTAAGTAGTCCCCCCTTGAACAGAAGGCTATGCACTTTAATTCCATCTCAAGGAATAATTTTATTACAACAGGAAGCTTTTTCTGAATATATTCATACCAAGACCAGTGGTTCAGTACAATACAGGAAGACAAGGCCCTGTTTAGTTTTAAGACATTTTCCATAAAAATCCTTTTTATACAACTTCTGAAACAAGAGTTTTATTCTTACACAGTAGTTCTTCAGCCACGGTCCTGCTGAGGCCCTTTTACACCTGGTCGGTGTAAAGGAGATGCCCACTTTTATTTTTTCAAAACAACAATGCTAACTTCCTGAGTGGTTGCTAGAGAAGTCTGAAGAAGCAAGCAGAAGACCGATTCTAAATAAGAGAGCTACAAAATAAAATAAATAAAAAGGAAACAGCTAGAAATTCAGCAGAAACAGAATTACAACAGAGCAATAGCTGGCAAGATCATTTCAGAAGCAAAAGCAACTTCATTCTGTGTTGTCATCTAGCAAAGAACCATTTCATTCACTAAACCCCAAGATCAGAAAGTGCTTTTGTACCTCCACAGACGGATAATGTGGAATTAATACATGCTCTCAGCCACCAATATGATTGTTTGCTTATTTTCTGGGTAAGTTACTACAAGAATTAGCACAGAAGAAGCAGTCGATTTAAAACAGCCACACAAATTAAAATAAACCAAGCACTTAAATAAGCTATCAAAATAGAAAGCTAGCATCACCAATTACTCTCAAATCTGGAATGGGAAAAGAAATCGCTTTATAGTGGGATTGGTGCTACAAAATGGCATAAACTTTAGCATTATACAAATAATAAAAAATACCACTCTGACAACTTAGCTCACCTGCTTGGATATCATCGCAATACAAACTATACAGTAAGGGATATAAATAAGTGTTTTGACATAGAAGCCCAATACTTGCACTGTGTCAGTTTCTGCAAACACTGAAGTTAAAAAAAACATACATGCATTATCAAATGTAAACATTTACATCATATAAAACCTTAGAAATGCTGGAAAATGCCCGAGGGACTTTTACTTTATATAAAATCTACCAGCACAAGAGGCAAAAGGAGTTCAGAAATTACAACTAGAGACAGATCAGACAACACAGTGAAGTTTATTACATTTTTAATACAAATTTAGGGCTCTAATTAAATGTTCACTCGGAAGTCTCTATGGAATGTCTGTATGCTCTGAAAGCACATCTTGGGGAAGGTTTTAGAAACTAGCTTAATGCAGAACACAGAAGAGAAACTGCAAATCTCTGAAAATAAAATTTTACTCTGTTACCCTTTGCATCAAGATACTGAAATATGGCCCAGGGAAAGAAGAAAACGGATAAATTCCAGTTGTGCTTTTCCTAACCAACTCTGTCTCATATGGGACATCTCTGAAAAGATGATCAAGCAGATTAATTTATTTCAGCTTAGAGCTATTTCAATCTCTCTCTACAAGAAAAAAAAATTAAACACAAACAAAACCCTCTATATTATTAGAAAAAAAAAATCTCATCTAAAACAAGCAGTCTGAAAACAAGTTCCTTCCCTCCCACCCCACCCCCTAAACAGCCACAAGTAATTAGTAATCCTTCAGCTAATTTGTATTAGGTTCAGACACACAGGTTCCTGAATGAGCTTTGAGGTCTGACAGATCTATCAAATCCGTAGCTTGTCTACTTATTACATCTTCATTGGCAATCCTATTGCTCTCTCACAGCCTGAAAAAAGACTTCAGGGGTTAGGAATCCCACTAACTGTAGTTTTCATGCACGAGATCCAAGATGGGATGATCCTACAAACTCTTACAAACCTCTACACGATGTAGGTTTTGCCTAAATGTCTCAAAGTATAAACTAACCATGGCAGGGACATTTAAAAACGTGCCCGAACTCAAATAGTGATAGAAACGTAGCCGTGTTAGTCTGGTGTAGCTGAAACAAAAAACAAGACTATGTAGCACTTTAAAGACTAACAAGATGGTTCCTTTTCATATGTGTTCATTTTTTTTAATTGTATCCTTTGGTATATATGGTTGTGACAATTTTCTTCCACTATTTGATCTGAGGAAGTGGGTCTGGCCCACGAAAGCTCATCACCTAATAAACCATCTTGTTAGTCTTTAAAGTGCTACATAGTCCTGTCTTTTGTTCGAACTCAAATAGCCTTTCGAAGTCAGACCACGAGAATTTTTTCTCTTTTCCTATAAAGTTTAAAATGGGAAGTAAAAAAAAGTAAAACCTTGAGCTGTTAACGTGGC